TGGAGGCTGAGTATGTAGCAGCCTCAGAGGCAGCGAAAGAAGCTCTCTGGCTCAGGAATTTTCTCCTCGACCTTGATGTGGTACCGAGTTTGTCCGCTGCGATTACAGTGTTATGTGATAACAGCGGAGCAGTTGCAAATTCGAAGAACCCACGGACTCATAAAGCGAGTAAACACATAGAGCGCAAGTACCACCTGATACGAGAAATCGTTGGACGAGGAGAAGTCGTTGTTGCCAAGATACAATCAGAGGACAACCTAGCAGATCCTTTTACGAAGAGGCTACCGGCGAAAGTCTTTACAAGACACGTAGAAGGAATGGGAGTCAGATGATAGGGCGACATAGTAGACTAGTCTTTGAGAATTAGATTGAAAGAAATTGTGGTTATTTTGTTTAGCCATGAGCTTATAAAGCATAAGTGGCAGATTGTTAGAGATATGTTGTAAAAGCTATGTTTTGCAGATTCTATCAATTCCATTTTGATCTGGCCATCAAGTTTCGATCAAAGTACATATGTTTGCAGTTTATTTATTTATGCAACACATACTCTATGTCTTATATTGAGATAGTGTGGTTCGAAGTGTTTCGAACGGAAAGATCACCTATCGGTTCCTTATAAGACTAAATCATTCGTTCACAGTCTAGACTGGCAGTGAGACCCCACTTGGAAAAAGACTGTAGTGTATTCTTGATTCAGTTGGTCTTTGACTGGAGAATTACACTAGCACTTATGTTAGGTGTTGAACAGGACCGCAGAAGGCAAAGGTTATGAGACTCACTGACCGTTGTTGTAACCTCGTCCTTCAGTGATTGATGCGTTCCCTTAAGCCGCAATATAATATAAAATAGGCATATATTTTTATTTCTTATTAATTTGATTTACCAAGTGATTCCTATTTTATTAGGATGACATACGAGGTATTTTGGTAAGTAAGAATAATTATATGATGTGATATTATAAATTATTTATGGTCACTATGTTCCAGTGCGCTGGATTGATGACGTCCCCAAAATGAGCTCAGGAATGTACGTTATGTTAAACCCTGCAGGTAGAGGATTGTCTGACATAATGGTTAAAGATCTGAGTGGTACTAATTTCGGAAATGAATAAGAAGTTGATTAATTATTTTATCAGTAATTTAATTAATCAATGCACGTTATATCTTAAACATATGGAGATAAATTGATCAATCGGATTAATATTATTTAATCATGGAGGCTCAATTTTATTGGTA